GCTTGCGTTTTTTGCCTGCGATGACCTGTTGTATACCGCGGTCTTTCTTGCGCTAGACATTCCTTGCTCTCTCTCTCCCTCTCTCTCTCTCTCTCTCTCTCTTCCGGCTTTTCCTGGCTTAGCTCCAGTTTGGCTCAGTCCTACTGTAGGTCCCAAATCCTGCAAACTAGACAACATATGCGACACGATCTTTCATACAACCCAGACTCTGAAAAAACCTCATTCAACCCCGCACCTTCTCGACATCTCAGGTCATGCTCGGTGAGGCCATCGAGGAGGCAAGATAGCTCTGAGCAAGCGTCCCACAGCCACGGACGTAGAAGCAAGCGATATTTTGGGGGTGCCTTGTTATGGTTGAGGCCCCTATATTGGGTTGAGGGATTTTCGGGTTCGAAGGACGTCACCCGAGCTCCATCAATGCAGGAGGGCCCGATTCATTGCTGCCCTGGTGTATGCTCTTCCACAGTGTCGCAAGCTGAATAGCCCATGGCCATTATTTCGAATCCTAAAAAACAACCCCCGGCTCCCGAACCCATAAACCCTGAAAGTGGAATCCTGGCCAAGTGTGTCCGAGAGTGAGTGCTGAAACCCTAAGAATACATTACCATATTCCAGGCAGAGAACGACATCATCAGCCTCTCCAGCTCTTTCCTGACGGTGCAAGTCCTGCGATTCTCATTGTCAGGTGGGGCTGAGAGTTTAGGGTGATTACAGTGTTTAGGGTTTAGGGTTTCCTAAACCCTCAACCTTAAACAGTGTTTCAGTTTTCGAAAGGGATGGCCCCTTAAGCCTTACATCTGGGTTGAATTGTCCAACCAGGGCTCTCTTCCGTGAATTTGCAGTTGGGAGGGTCAGCCTAGGTATAATTTCGAAAGAACGGCTGGAGCATGATGGGCTGTTTTAGATCCTAAACCGTAGCACCCTTTCTTGGACAAGGGGTTGCATAAGAAAAACCATACGGTCAACCATAAGAGGAACTTCGTTGAGGGTCCAGGCTAGGTACAGTGCGATCCCCTCGTCCGATACGATGTTACAAACTTGTGTCAGCTCTAGCAGCAGGACCCACATCATTGCCTCAGTATGACGCTCGTGTTTTCCAAGTCTATCTGGAGGTTCTTTCATGCCCACACAAGGGGTCCTTGATCATGTCGGTTAGTTGTACAGTATGAACATATACATATATATATATATGTACGCATGCATGCATGCATGCATTCTGTATGCTATTATGTGCATGTAAGGATGCCGCCCTCATTTTTTGAAGTTTTCAACGGCAGCCTGCAAGCTCATCTACCGCTTGATCTGGAGTGAAATTTTGGCTGACATGTTGACACGATCAGGTTCATGGTACTTCTGCTTCTGGAAGCGGCAACATGCACTTACCCCAGATCAGCACCATCTAGAAACGAGGCCGAGGCCCGAAACGACTTGTTGACCAGAGTCGCCTTGTTGCCAGAGCAGGCACGCTCCCGGATATGGCTGCTTGGCGGTCAAGCTTCAAGCCATGCTCTTTTCTTGCGACGCAATTCATTCAGTTCATGTGTGTGACGCCAGGAAGTAAATGCCCTCATGATGGGCACCAGTAGTCCTTGCGGTCGGCTTTCTGAAGGTTCTTGAAGCCATGGTCGGACAGCCTCGAATAGTCTCACTGCTCGGGATCCTACTGGAGCTCCGTTTGCAATCCTGCACAAAGAAGTCCGGCCGGAGTTACAAGGCCGGGAGGATCAGCCCATACCAGCCCTCCGGCATGTTTACCATCGGAATGTGCCTTGGCTGTCTCAGGGTCCGAAAAGCTGGCTTGGGGCTCTGGGCGTGGCTAGGCTAACAGCACACTGCATCAAATGTCTAGTCTCGCTGTGGCTGCCATTCAATTGCCTTGTCTTGTTGCACTGCCACTCCAGAGCAGGCCTACATATGTACGTAGGATGAAGGCATACGTGTATATGTATATGTATGTGTGTGTATATATATATATATATATATATATATATGTATATCTGTGTTGATCTATATATATATATACATATGTACACACATACATATCGACTAGGTAATGCAGATTTCTGCGTTTCTTCGATCATATGCACAGGAAATCACAAGAACATATCTTCAACATGGGTTTGCAGAGCATGCCCACGCGGAGGCCTCTCTGCTGTGTGTATTCAACTCTACATATGTGGCTGCCTGCATGTGTGACATAGGCTGCATGCACAAGTGCCTGCATGCGAACATGTACAACTTACACATACGTTCAGACAGTGCAGGCATGCATCATAAGTTCACCCCGTTTGCATTCGCTAGTACATTCATGTTAAAGCTGGTGCATGCCATCATTTGCGTTTCGGTGCCGGGTGCTTCTCACATGGAGGCTTCCGTTATGATGGCTCCCTACATCCAACTTATCGTGGGTCTGCCCACCGTTTGCTTGTCCTGCCGGCTTCAGTGCATTTTGCGCGAAGTTAACCTTCGGCCATGACTTTGTCGTGCGTCCCTTTGTTTGGTCATCCACATCAAATTTTCGTAGTTATCATGCGGCTGCGGGCTGTGTTTGGCACGCGTCCAGATTTGGGCTGACACAAAGCCGGATACGCCACAGCATATTCATTCAGATGTCCAGTGATGGGCTCTGTGCAGGCTTCTCCTGTTCGGAACAGTTGCGCTGGCCATGTCCCTCGCGCAGCCTGGATGGGGAAATGAGGCTTTTGGACAGGCTTCCGACGCCCGCTAGTACTCCATCACCATGCCTGATGTGTTCCATCTTGCTTCCAGAGGCGAGCCTAGTTGCAAGCTCCATTCCTGTGCCAGCGGGCCATATGCCCCAGGATCGACAGTCATCCGGTCTTCTCTTTTCCGGTCTTTGTGGGGAACCTCGTTCAACCCGTGGTGAGAAAGTCCTGAACCAAGCTTCTTCAGATAATGTAGAAGCCCGGATGGGCAGTCATGTTGCTCCTAAAGGTTCCCTGCTATAATCAAGTATAGTGCACCAGACCCTCAAACCTTATTCTGATTCTTCACGCAATTCTATACTGCCTGCACCCCGAGGTTGACATTCGTCCCGTGTGAGAACCGGCTGCTTCTTTGGCTGCCCCTCGCTTTGTTTGGTCAGGTCAGGGATACAAAGACTGAACCTATTTGGAAAGGACACGGTGAACATAGCTTTTCGGTCATGTTTCAGTTCCCCTTGATACAACAGAGTTAAGTGCTGCTCGTTCGCTCGTCAATGCTCGGGCGGTGAAGAGCAGCCGGCACGGGTCGTTGTTATTACCAGACTCTTGCTGGATTGATCTTCAGGACGCTATGGCCTTACCCTGGGCATCAACATAGCCCAAAAGCCTTATATAGTATGGTCTTTAGGCCCAAAAGCCTTCATATATGAGTCCTTAGATGCCTAGGGTGAGGATGGTCCGAGTCTCGTCGCCCACAGTGCCACACCTAACCCCCAACCCACTCCGGCTACGTGCCTAATGCCCGGAGGACTGAGAAATTCCAGAACATCCTTGGGATGATCTTCGCATGGTGCTCCCTCTGGGGAGTACACATGTTCGTCCGGGAGACGGGCTTCTTTCACGAGACCCTAGGCCTGCCGAGATGGCCCGGTTTTGTACTTGCTTTACATGTTTACTTTTGTGTATGGACATGCATAGATGTACACATACGCACACCTACACCTACACAATGTATACATTTGACAGTAGTAGTCGGAGTCGTCGTAGTAGTAGTAGTAGCAGCAGGAGTAGTAGTAGTAGTAGTAGTAGTAGTAGTAGTAGTAGTAGTAGTAGTAGTGGTAGTGGTAGTGGTAGTGGTAGTGGTAGTGGTAGTGGTAGTGGCAGCAGAAGTAGAAGCAGCAGTGGTAGTAGAAGCAGTAGCATCGGTGGTAGTAGTCGCCGTGATCGTCGCCGTAGTAGTAGTAGTCGTCGTAGTAGTAGTGGTACTAGTCGTCGTCGCCGCAGTAGTCGTCGTTGTCGTAGCAGTAGCCGTCGTCGTTGCCGTCGTCGTAGAAGTAGTAGTAGCAGTAGCAGTAGCAGTAGCAGTAGCAGTAGAAGTAGCAGTAGCAGTAGCAGTAGCAGTAGCAGTAGTAGTAGTAGTAGTAGTAGTAGTAGTAGTAGTAGTAGTAGTAGTAGTAGTAGTAGTAGTAGTAGTACTCGTAGGAGTAGGAGTAGCAGTAGCAGTCGTTGTAAGTAGCCGTCGTCGTAGTAGTAGTAGTAGTCGTAGTAGTCGTAGTAGTCGTAGTAGTCGTAGTAGTCGCAGGAGTAGCAGATGTAGTACCCGTAGCAGTAGTAGCGCTGGCAGCAGCAGCAGCAGCAGCAGCAGCGTTCTTGTTGCAGCCGACACTGCAGCACATTCTGTTGGGCTGAATCGTGTTGCACATGGTCGTGTTCCACATCAAGACATAATCTGCACATGAACCGATTTGTTTGCACACCTTCCGCTTTTCCATGCACCAGCCAGCTTCGCGAGACAACAGTTCGTGCATGAACGTGCACTATCCCCAAGACTTGAGGCTATCCGGTGCGGCATCGACGAGAGGAATGCCCATGACCATCAGTAGCTATGGGCAACCTTAGGAATGACTCCAACCTCGTCCAAGATGCCATGTAGGCGTAGAATAAATGCAGGAGCTAGCACACGATGTAATCATGGCCATGAATAGGTTGTACGAACACTGATGAGTTACTCTGCTGAAGCAGGCACGACGCTCTACCCCAACGAGCGCCACCTGATTGCGGCTCTCTTCCTTTCAATGTGCCACTTTGCCTGCGGGAATAGATGCGAGAGACAGGTCCTGTGCGGGAGATGCGCAGGCTTTCATATCGCATAGTTATACATTACCCTTATAAGCCCTAATACCCTAATACCCATTTTCGAATGTTTTGCCAGAATTTGGGACTGTCTCTTTAGACCTCGGTTCGAGCCTTCCTTCACAGGTTTTAAACGAAGTTTTCAACCACCGCGACCTCCCCTCAATATTCCCCCAATAGCCTGGATAACTTGCGCAGCGCATGGAGCTGCTGCAGCGCTCCTGCTCCTAGTACTCCGTCTTAAAAACATACCACTGAGACCAATTTAATACTCCTCCTCTTTCTGCCGCTACTGCCGCGACGACCCCAACAACTACCACAGCCACTGCCACTACCCCCTGAGTACCACTAATACAACCCCCACACCACAACAGCTACAACTCCAACTGTTACTGATGTACGATTGCCACTAGTACAATATTTTCCGCCTCCTCCTACTGCTACTTCTCCTACTGTTATGAGAAGTATTCCCAGGCGCACTCGCTGCGATCCGCGTCCTGGATATCATCCAAGACATGGGCGCCTCGTGCCCTGGCTAGGGCAAGGCTCAGTTCTGACTGTTCTTATGCAGATTGGGACTGTGGTTGTAGTGTTGACATTAGAAGTATAGTGTTTGTATTAGAATTGATATTCGTGGTGTAGTATTTGTATGGGTATTGATATCAGTATCAGTCTTATTATTGAAAAATTTGAATTAGCACGCTTGAGATGTAGTGGCAACGAGCTGCGGTGATCGTTGGGCCAGATCACAGCGGCATGCCGCAGCGCTGGCAGTGACTGTTCGGGTTCCCAGGGTCCATACGAAGTTGGCAGGACCGACTGAGGGGCTCCAATACAACTTATATACAAAAGTGTCGAGCCCCCCGCACCTTACGAAACTGACGTCAAGTTGTACCTGTCTACCGGCCTTGAAGCGGTGGAATCGGACACTTTCTGTTCTGGTGACTCCGGCTCAGTGGCTCAGTGGATGAGGTAAAACGTGCTAGTTGTAGGGTCAGTAGCATACAGTAGTTAGGAGTCGGATTCGTCGTCGTCGTCGCGACTAGTGAGTGAAACATGAAAATCTAGCTCTCATGCTCAGGTTCGAGAGAAGCACTAAAATAACACTCAAAACTTTGATCTTGCAAAGAGCAGGGGTGAGGGGTAGAGCTTAGGGCATGGGGCTTAGACTTAGGGTTGTAGATTCCAGGGCTTCGGATTTAGGGGTTGGGGCTCCAGAGTTTAGGGTTTAGGTCGCCATGCACCATGTATTCAGGCGACTGCACAAGCCCTGATGCAAACAGGTCGCCATGCAATGTCTTATCTGTTCCGGCGAGGTTCCCGCGCCTCTTGCAGAACATGATCAATGTCTTCTCCGTCTTGATCGGACAGAAGCCCTAAAACCCGCTTAAGCTTTCTCAACCTTGTGGTCTTTAGTGAAACGTACCAGAGATTCTACTGTGGGGTTCATCGTTCGTTACTTCTGGTCCTTCGAGGTACTGTGCGTCGAACCCTCCCGACCCACTCTTCGTGAGCTCGTCATCGCTCTGTGTTAGTTGTTGTTCCTTGCAGTCCATAGCTTGGGCTGTCACGACCGAGTGGCCCCGCTCGCTGGTATGCCAGAGGCTGAAAGTTACACAGTCCAGGAAAAGCCTTCCCCTACTCCCTGAAAATCCCTGAACCCAAACCTAAGCCCCCATCCTTCAATCCTAAATGACGGTACTGCTGTCCTGCTGCCTCTGAAATAGTGAGTGTGGTAATGTAGCCCTAAGTCGGCTGGATGACATGACTGACGCATAGACCCGTCGGATCTTACTGCACTGTACCTATCACCCGGTCGTGCTCGACACTACGCAGGATTCAGAAATCCCTCAACCCCTAAACCGTCAACAAATAAGCCTACACCGAAGGAGAAAGTCCTTCGACCCTCGACCCCGGAAATAGCCTCTTGGTGAGGACTCTCATGGGAGATGTGCTTCGAGCACAGTCTTGAAGAACTTTCCGAGGACCTGGGTTCGGGTTGAGATCTTGGCAGACGGGTTGGCGACACTAGGTGGGGCTTTGGGACATGTTATATTTTCTCTTATTGGGCTGAAGAGGATCTTACCTACTAATATGTTCCAAGGCATTAAAAGCACCTGCTAGAACAGTCTTCTTTCTCCTGCGTGTTTCCGGGCATAGTTTCAACAATAGATAAGCAAGCCAGCCCATGTTCAAGCTATACAGGCTTCCGTTTTCGGAACATATTATATATATATATATATATATATCTGTGTGCAGACTCCCAGGGATATTGCTGCTGGTGAAACTGCAGGAAACGGTACACCCAGAGGCCATGAAGTTGATCTTCACCGTTTGCACCTGGGCGCATGGCTGGGTCCAGCGTTACTTCGGGTTCGGTCCTGAAGCGAAAAATCCTAAGAGTAGAAGCCAGAAAGTTGGAACAGCACTATCCTGAATCCCTCCAGGTTCAGGCTTTCTGGGTTTCATTGTAGGTCTGGGAGAAAGCCTTGAAGTTCTAAACCCTAAGCCCTGCGTTGGGGAGCTTGTGGCACTCAGGGACGAAGAGTTTGAGCTTGGCGTTCCGTTCCTCGTAGGGCTTCGCTGATGGAATGTGACTGATCATGTTACCACGGCTGTTCCTAGCTGGTAGCCTTGCTGCTGGCCGTGAAGCCTGCCTGAAGGTGTTTGTGCAACCTACAATCGCACCTATGCTGACGCTGACATGACGGCCCCGTCTGGTCATCAGAATCAAATTATGCTCTGGCGGTGCTGGTCTGGCTTGTGCCCATGATGCTCCCCCCCGCCCCACCCACCCCACCGCAGCCCCAGACCTCCCACCCCCCCCCCCCCCCTCCCCCATTTAGTGGTCGCTGGTGATCACAAGCAGAACAACGCCCGCCGACTGATGCATGTGATGCCGGAACGATGTGGCTGATGCTGACGATTCGGGTCCCACTGATGCTGATGATGTTGGCCCAGCAGATGCTGATCATGCTGCCTGGCCGTGGCAGCTGGTGCTGCGTCCAACTGCGGCTGATCAGGATATCAGTTGAAGCTGATCATGGACAGTTTGGCTGTGGCGATTGGCTGTAGAGGTTGATGATGCTTGCTGGCGTGAGCGCGGCTGATGCTGATGATGCTGGCCGGCGGGTGCTTAGAATACGACGCTCCGCAGGCTGATGCTGATGATGCTGCCTGCGAATGCGGCCGCCGCTGATCAGGATATCGGCTGATGCTGATCAAGCTACTGATTGCGTCGGGTCATCTGAACATTTGCCAATGCTGAAGGTGTATTGTGCTGGTGAGAACTTGGTTCTGATGCTAAGGGCGCTAGCCTCTCCAGTAAGATGATGCTGACGCCGTTGCCCCAACCTGCAACTTCAACTTCATGTACCTCGCAGTTGCATGTTGAACAGTTTCATTGAGAAAGCCTTGCACTCAGGCGCTGTGGCGATTGTGCTGCCTGCCTGGCGAATGCTCCTTTGCCTATTTTGCTTGTTTCTCTGTCTTCAAGGTCCTAGATAGACATCGATATGTATGATATATATATATACATATATATATATATGTGTATATATATGCAGTTTTTTGAGATAGATTATGGGCGATACGGAAATCTATTGGTTTGCTTTGTCTCTTCACTTTGATGTTTCCAATCCAACACCCAGGCATGCGACTGAACCACAGGGGCACTGACAGCTACGCGCCATTGCCATTCCCCAGAGCATTATCGCTGCCTTGCTTTGGCGGGCGGAATCATCTAGATGCGCACCCACTAGACACCCTTATGCCGGGAAGGAAGACATGCCGACATCTTCAGGTTCATTGTCCGCCGCGTCATGCACCTCGAGAGAAAACACCAGGACCCATCGTCAACACTGCGCGCTGCATGAGATGTGCCAGAACTGTCCTGAGTCTGCAGTCGAAAGAACGCATTCCAAGGCTTATGATTCACGTCAGGGCTCCTAGGTATTACTGCCGTTCCAATACCGGGTGTCCTTGCAGCAGCTGCAGGTTGCCCCTTGTTTTTCATTGATGGAGATGTCTCTGCCGTGCCGCATAACTGCCACAGGAGCGGCAAGAAGCAAAAGTCAAGGCAGGGAACACAGTCTCAACATTCAGATTACATGTCTGCGCTAGGGCCTAGAGGGTATGCTTCCGTTTTGCGTGACAGCAGTTGGCTTGGGCAGGGCATAGTTTTGTCAGCTGTTCAGTGCTACTCTGCGGCGGGCGCTCGATCATGTTGGCAGATCGCGAACGGCGAAGACCCTGCTTACACGGCCTTGCTGAAGCAGTCGCCCAGTCCTCCGCCCGAGGACAAATGTGAAATGCAGGGTTTATGGCACGTACTTTTGTTCCACGTTTGTCGATCTATCTGTGTACTTGTGTCAAGGCCGCGCGTGCTGAAAAAGGGTTCTGCGCTCCCACCCTGCGTGTTCACGCAGCCGCCTCTCGGGCAGGAGCTAGCGATGAAGCAAGACTTGGCTCCAAAGAGCCACCGTTCGTCTGGATGTTGGTGAGTGCGACAGTACGGTCCCAAAATGTCCTAGCAGTACGTGCGGCAGAGTCCGCACATGGACCAGCCATGATAGTTTTTCTCGCTTACACTCCGCCGGACGATGAAGCACTGCGCTGTATGCAGCCCGCGCATGGACCAGTGGTTGCAGATTTTCTCGTTCCGCCGGACGATGAGCAATTCGCTGTATGCAGCTTCCTGCTTTTCTACGCCCTGAAATTCTTCGTAACAACTATGGAGGGGGCAAACATCATTCGTTTCACTCGTCACTGCTGTCTTCTTTGGGTGCAGAAAGATGCTACCCTTCTTGTGTGGCACCATGCCCTTCAGTTACAAGTACAGGTACCCCACGGCAAAACCGATGATGAAAAGTCAGAAGTTCCATATTTGCCAAATGTATTCCCCTAAACTCTAAACCCGAAACCATGTGCCCGGAGGCGAGGAAAGACATGTGACATATGGCCTACGGTTGTGAGGATTGAAGCAGTACCACATGTGTGGCATGCATGCTTGGGTCTGGTCTAGGGCTACATGTGGCATTTGGAGGCACAGCTGGCCTTTATCGTGAAGCTTAGGATTTCGACACAACTGGCAACTTTGCAGACATGTGGAGATGTGGAGGCCTGGAAAATTCCGTAGGCTTTCCCTTATGAAATCTATAGTGCTGTAAGGTACCCCAATTTGCATGATCAAGGCGCCTGACTCATGGTCTTTCCGGGAGGGTGTCATACCTTCAGAATCTGGCAAGCCCACTGGGCCACACCTGCGTGGCCATCTGACTAGTGCAGGAGGGCACGCATGGAATGCCAAGCTGCGACGAAAAGCGCTTCCACTCCTGCCATATGATCATTTGTGCTAGCTGACGTTGCTGACTCGGAATCCGATTTGAGCTCGGTTCGTGTGGCACAGTTCTGGAAACGAACTGATTCGCAGGCTCTCATGTCCGCAGGATTCCCCTGAACAATGCCTTTTGCACCAAACGCCTTTGTGACCTACGTTCGTCATAAGGCACCCCACGTGAATACGTAAAGAAGCGCCGACCGTTCTGCTTTCCACCTTATACATCTGTCTACTGATGTATCAATCGATCCATTTGCTACTATTGGGTAGGTCTCTGTATCTGTCTGTCCGTCCGTCTGTCTGCATGTCTGTCCATCTGTGGTCTATCTGCCTTTCCATCTATCCATCCGTGCTTTCATCCATCTATCTGTCCAGCTTTCCAGTCGTTTAATGGTTTCCTCCATGTAATCTAAGTCTAAGTTAATCTAAGAAAGAATCTCCGCTTGTGCTTTGGGTATTGCATCTTCTGAACCTCTGCCGCCCTCCAGACGCGGACTGAGGCTCTGAAGCTACCCGTGGGGTCGGAGTGCTCCTGAGCTCGATCTTCCGGAATCCAGAGATGCCTGAAGGGGTTTCCCTTAGGTACTGCCCCCATACATGAAGGAATCTATAATAGGGCGACTATTCAGGTCCTAATATATCTACATTATGAATATTATTCAACTATGACTGGGTGGAGGCCGTACCCAAGGTTTCTGCAGTTTCCGTGCTCTTCTGGTTGCTCTTTGTGGGCTTTCAACCTCAGCTGCAGCACCCATACTGTAGCGCACTGACTCCTTGTACTAGTTAGTCACTAGTGGCAAAGCCTCCTGTCCAGTGATTGGACAAGACATGCTATTTTCCTACAGTAGGGTTTTCCAGAGACGCAGACATGCCTCACTATAATACAGGGGCCTTAATCATTACCCGTACTGCTTTGGGTGTTCCTTATTATAAGTACTGTATACTAATTACCCATATCCACATTCTAGTTATTGAGGCCCCTGTGTTGTAGAGGGGCCTTTAGAGCGAGGTTGAAATCAGGCGCGTAGGAGTTCAACAGGTAGTTGGGGCTGGAAATCCATGACGGAGGCTTGCTGTCTTCACCATACTTAGAGCCTGAACTGTTGTACCGCACGTTTTCTTTCGACCACCTAATATGTGGCTGGAATGCACAATAACAAACAAGGACAACAAAGTATCATAACAAATGTACTACACTACCGGGGTCTAGGTGCAATCTCGTCTTAGTAGTACCATTTACTGCAGTTGCGTCCTGATGGTTGCCTGCTTATGTGCTTATGATATTTCTTTCCCAGTAATGCTCCATCGTATGATTGTCTCACCTTTCAGTCTTGCATTCACGTGTATCCCTGAGCATGACTAATAAATTATCAACCTTCAACCCAAACGCAGGCTAAAGTAAGGCGGGTTCACATCTGGGCTTCATCTTCGGCAAGGCCCCTTAGGAATGTTGGCGCGAGTACAGGTGTCGTACTCGAGAAAGAGCCCAGGTCTCATATCCTGCCGACTTCTGGGTTGGCTTGCTCGGGACAACACCGGGTGACAGAGACAAGCGGAAAAAAACGGATGTGCCGAAATCTTTGCCATATGCCCTAGATGTGCCTTGCGAGCCCGAAAAAAAGAGCCTAATCTCGAAGATCCCAAGCCCTCGACCGGAGACCTTGAGTGGAAAGGATGGTGCATTCAGGACTTGATCACTCCACCCTCGCTCCCCCTGCAACTGTCGATGGATACCCAGGGGACTGGGATGCAAGCATATGCATGTACAGAGGGCTCACAGGTTCTTATAGCACGCCAATCAGCAACTTTCTGATGTTGGCAACCATCATTCCGGTAATCATGCCTTCGGAGCACACCAACCGCTGAGATAGGCATTATCACCATCACCCTTAACCCGGCATAATCAGCCCGAAGCCACATCGCTTGAGCCCAAGGGTTTGAAGGAGCTGGGGCTCAGAGAGGCAATCCCTGAAACCGAAAGCCCTACAAACCCTGACCTGCAAACATGCAGTCCTTAATTCTTGGGCCTATAGACCCGCATTGTCGCCCCTCTCGGGCTCCATTTCTTCCAACACCCACAGAAACCCAACACACCTCTCTGAAAGTTGGGGGCTCCTTTTCGAAGACTTTCGCTCTGTGTTCCGAAGGTTTCGGATTTTGGACTGCTGAGCGGAATGTGCTGTGGATATGGGCTCGCACATGCCTAGAGTTGGGGAGAGCTTTTCTTGATGCCGACAAAAGCGCATGTCCAGAGCACAATGATATTTCGTAGGCAATATGGTCAAGTCAAAATGTCTTCACGTTGAGTATGTTTCTGTGTCGTAGGGCTCAGAGGCTAGGGTCTACAGGGTTTGAATGCTTAGGGTTTAGGGTGTTTTCGGGTTGCATTTCCTGGCATCGGTGCTCTTGGGCCATGGCCGTCCTGCCCTGCTCCTGTTCAGTCTCTTGGACCAAGACCAGGGTTCGAAAGAGGGCATAGGCTTCATGGTCCACAAATAAAGGATTCCGAGCTGCTGTAGCCCCTATCCCGAAACCCGGAAAGACGATACATCGTATTTTGTTGCTCGGTTGATGGCGTGGCACAGGATTGCCGGCGTTTCTTGCCGCACGTAGTCTGGCCTTGGCTTTGCTGGATTGCCCCACGGTGAATGCGATTCCGTTGAGGACAATTTGAGCTACCTTCTTGTGTAGGAGCAGGAGCAATACAAGAAGGTTCTCATAAGGGTCGTATGGGAGCTTTCGGAGGTTCTATATATACATATATATATATATATATACATGTATATATATGTATTTATAACTCTGAGGAGTCAAGCAGACTTTGCATTCAATGCACCTCACTACTTCGTGCCTGCCACTGTTTGCTGCTAGGTTCTCCAAAAGTTCCACAAAAGAAAACGGACTTCAGAAAGATCGTGAAATGGCCAACCTTGTAGCTCCAAACCCGTGAACCCGTAGACCCCCCATAGGCTCCCAAGTGCTGTGTCTGCGAGGCCTCCTATGTGGGCACGCCCCAGGAGGCTGAACTAAAAAGGGGTCTCATGCAGGGAAGATGTCGCACCTAGCAGCCTTTAGAGTGATTGGTATAGGTAGGGCTCAGGAACTATAGAGGGTTATATATTATTTAGGATGAACTTCGGCGTTTAGGGATGTTGAGGCTAACTTTGTGGCTTGACATCCGTGAGACTATGACTATCTTTCCATGCAGGTGATGCATCGGTCCTGGCATATCTGTCCGCAGCCAGTCGTTGAAGGTCTGCTTTCGTTTGCCTAGTGTTTGCTTCGTTCCTTCTGTTTAGATTGAGTTTTGCTGGTTCTCGTTGGCTTTGCTTCGTCGGTGTTCGCGTCGCACTCGGCCTTTATGTTTGGGTGTGACAGACGAGAAGCTAAAGCGCCCAATGCAGGAGGCTTACAATTCTCTCTGTGTCTCTATGTAAATGTCAATGTGTGTGTGTGTGTGTGTTGGTTGGTGTGTGCGTTTCTCTCTCTCTCTCTCTCTCTCTATATATATATATATATATATACAATATACAAAAACAGATGTATATATATATATATATATATACATACATGCACACATACACACTCATGATCCCATGTATTTCCATTCCCGGAGTTGGGTTTCGGTTGAGGATTTCGACTGCTCATCTCGAAAGTCCGAGCAGCCCAGCAGTCAGAATTATAACAACACAATAGTGTTCGTCGTCGCTGTTGTTGGTTGCTAGTCTTGGTTGTTGCTCTTCTTATTGATGGTATAATTGCTACTATAAACTAACAGGGAGCAGGGGATTTGTTGTAGATTGCGTCTGGTGATAAGTGCCAGTTGCTTGTTAACGAAGGGCCAGGATTGCTACAGACCTTGCCAGGCTTTGTCCGAGTGTGAGTGTCAAAAAAACCCTTAACCCCTACTATAAACCCTAAACCCCTAATATAAACCCTAAACCCTTAACCCCTATATTATGGTAAGCCTGGCAGTCAGGGCCAAAGTACTGCAGCCTGGTCCTCCTCCAGTGCAGCAGCTCTACCCCTGGCAGCGCAGGCAGCACAGGCGACCCTGTCGGGGAGGGTATAGGGTTTAGGGTTTGATGAGAGCAGCATGGGCAGTAGAACAGACTGCAGGCTCCGAAGTGCCACCAGATAAATGACATGAGCTCTTAGCTT